ATGATTCAAGGTCACTCACATTCCGAACAGCCTTTCTTCCTTTCCGGAACCTGGCACCAGTCATGTGTGGGTGGATTCAGGTTCTTTTCTTAAGAAGACATATTCAAAATTCATAATTCATCTTACCTGTTCTCACCCGGTGACACCAGCCTTCATCATTCCTCATTGGTTCATCTTTTTGAAAGTCATACCTTATCAACTCAAAAGCAAAAAAAAGCTGCAAACCCAAAAGGAAGCAAAAACATGTGAACATTGGGCTATTTGTGCATGAATAGGAACTGCCAGTACATTCCATGCTCAATTTAAACAAGGGAATTTAACTGACAAAAAGATTTGAAATAAAAATGTCAGGCATTAGTAAGCAGCCCCACCTCCTACTTGGTATTCATTTTTTCCCTTCATGCTTTGTTTCACCTTAGCACTGTTAGGGTTTACCCACAAGGGAATGAAAGCAAGTGACAGAAGGTACCCAGCACTGGTTTCCTCATCCTTCTAACCATGCACAGGAGGACCTGTTTCTAAGTCTTTGAAAGCATCTCCTCTAAAGGAAAATTTTAAACAAAACTAAGCTATGAGCCCTGAATTATCAGGGTTTCTGTTGTTGGTGGTATTTTCCTCAAAGCCTCCAGGAAAGTGACCAGTTGGCTAAGAACTAGAGTAACTTGACAAATGTTTGTTTGGCTTTCTTCTGGGCCTTTCAAGTTAACTCCCCTAGACAAATGTGTAGGAGTTTGCCTATCATTGAGGCATGAGAAGATGTATTTGGTAGAATGCCCTACTCACTCAAAAGCCAGGCTAACAGGATGTCCATCTCCCCATCTTCAAATGGTCCCAGTTGCCCTGTGATTGCTATATCATAGTGTCATGTTGACACATCCATTCTATCAAGTCTGACCAGACAGTAAACTAAAAATTGTTCAGTCCAACTCCCTCATTTTATCTATAAGAAAAGTGAAATTTTATTGGCCATTTAAATCCATAACCTTATTAAACAAAATTAGAAAACAGATTTAACATGGAGGTAATAAAATTACAAGGGCAGGTAAATGAGAAGGAAGAAATGAGGAGGGGGTGAAGATTGCAAAATGCACAATAGGAACAAGTAAATTTAAAAAATAAAAAGAATCTCAAAGATAAATACAATAGTAATATAAAAATATAACAATATCTGGTGCTTAATCTTATTAAAAACATTTAATCAGATCCACAGCTCACCATCCAATAGTTTTTAAATTATATTTAGTTATTTACTGTGAATGTATGTGTTTGTATATGTGTATGGGCACATGTATGCCATCATGTGTGTAAGGGAGGGGGGTCAGAGGACAACTTTTGGGAGTTGATTCTTTCCTTCTGCAAATGGTGCCCAGGGTAGACACTTTTATCCAATGAGCTCTCTCAGCACTCCACAATTCATCATTTTAATTCAGTTTAAATGGCAGCATCTGAGGTACAATGGCTACACCTACATGGATTTCTATAATCAGATGCATAAATGTGTATGTTGTTAAGGAATCAAAAAGTTTTTCTCAGTAAATACATGAGGAACCAAAAAAAGACCCCAGGTTATGACGTCCAGTAGAGCTGACACTGGAACAGGGCTGTCTGTGTTTGTGTCTGAGAATTTTGCCTTGAAAATGATGCTTGGCCCCTACCCTCAACTTCTTAATCATTGTCTCCAAAAGCTTGCAATGCTACTCTTATTAGGGATATGCTCATTTGTCTCGGATGTTTAAGTCATTTTTCACAGATGCTTAGGGCAATCAGATAGTAACGATGGGATTTTTAAATGGGGTCTCTTAGCCATTCCAACAATGGTGTGGCTGGGCTTTGGGTCACACAGCTGCTGCATCCCAAGAGCAGGAGGAAATGGAGGCCAGCCTTGTGGGCTGCAGAGAGAAGACACATAGCGTTGTCCTTGATCCTTTCCTGGGTTCTACCCATGAGCTGGTCCCTTGGCTGGATTTAGACTGTTCTTTAGCTGTGATAAGCTGTCACCTGGAGTGTGACAGCTTCCAGCCAGCTGATCCCTTGTCATCATCAAGGGTGGTCCTGGAGGCAGGTAGTAATAGGGCAAATGTGCCCTGACTGCATTTGGTGGACTTTGCTCATGGTGGAGAGATGATTAGGTTACATTTAAGATGATTAAACAGCTTGTACAAATGTTAGGAAATGAGTTTTTTTTTTTAACAGTCCACATTTTATCTTCATAGTATTTACTTTATGGAAGAAATACCACCTGTACTTCCTCTCCACTATTTCCTGTATAGGTTGGTAATACATACATTTTATGTTTTCAGATTTTGTTTCCACTCCATTTAGAGGCATAGCTTGGATTTGTTTAATCTTCTGTATCTAAATGGATTTATTACTGGTCATCAAACTTTTTAAGTTGAAGTTGATATCTTTTAAGTTTTGTTTTATTTTCAGACTGACCAGATGTTTTCATCCAATGTATTTTTTCAGAGAAGTACAGCATTCTTATAACATATATACACACACATACAGATACGCGCGCGCGCGCGCGCACACACACACACACACACACACACACACTTCTATTTATGTGTAAAACTTAGAAAACTCTTTGTTGCCCTTATACTGGGAGCAATTTAATCTTTATTAGAATCCCTAGATGAAAGATGAAGGCATTTCTCTTTTTTGTGGTCTGGCCTTTGGCTTTCTGTTTGCATTTTTTTGAGAGATCCCTACACCTTGTCCCATAGTCAACCAAGCTATGTTTTGTACAACCCATATTTCTTTTTTTCTTTTTTAGTTTTTTTGCTTCAGCATCACCTGGTTATTTACATTTTGTTCATTACCTTCACTAGTGTATGTTTTTTCTGTTTGCTGTTCTACACCATACTTTACTGGAACATAGTATACTCTTCACCTAAAGATTCAAATCTTCATGAGCATGTTCTTCTAGTATAGTTAAAAAAAATTATCTTTCTCTGGGACCAGTTCTTTTCTACAAGATCAGTTAAGCACATTCCAGAACTGTCATTATTTATGAACTATCTTTTCACTTGTATGCACACATCATATCTTCTCTTCAACAATGTTTACAATCTGTTTTGTTTTTAAGCTTTTTATGTGATAATTCATTTCTATTGATGTTCAGTTTTCTTTATTTATCTTTTTGGGATAAGCATGTCTAGTTTCCAATTCCTTTGTTGGTCTACATTGCTCCAGAAACCTCCTCTTATCAAGTTTTAAAGAGAATCATGTTGTGATCTTTTCTTGAATTTATAGAAAGAATATTTTTATAAGCATTTCTTTGTCACTTTGCAGCACTTACTCTTTTGATGTGATTTGTTTTTCCGTTGGCTGACTATTGTCCATATTTATAGATTCCTTTGTTTCAAGATTTCTGCCTTCCATAGATTTCATGTTTAGCCTTTACAAATTATTTCCCCAGATTAACATTGGAAAGGTCATGGATGCTCATAAATTTGAGTTGGTTTCACATATATTTTTCTGGATTGTCTCTTTTGTTTACATTGGGCACGTTTACTGGATGCAGTCTCTTTAAAGAGCACAGATTGCAGCTGTAGGAATATTGGGGTTACAGGAATTCCACATTCTACATACTTTTTCCTTTACCCATAACATTATCTCTGTAGTTGGAAGCTGATTCCTCTCCAAACAGAAAGCTTTCAAAGTTTGTTTTTGTTTGTTTGTTTTTGAGACAGGGTCTCTCTACAGGGCCCAGGCTGTGGTGGAACTCACTATGTAGACTAGGTTGGCCTCAAACTCAGATCAATCTGCCTCTGTCCCCAAATGCTTGGATTAAAGGAATGTGCCACCATGCCTAGCAACGTTTCAGGTTTTAAGAGACATACTTAAAAAAAACTCCTTTGTCTAATTATTTAATAATTATTGAATGTTTTTATTACTCAGCTGTAAACAGGCAGCATTTGGCTGAAATGATAAAAAGACAAACTAGAATCCATATAATATCAGGTGCAACTTTAAAAAGAAATCATACTATGAATAACTGAACTAAAATGAATTTAAAATCAGTATTTTCCCAAAAATATGGAGACAGTGTGATATTTTGTATTACTGACATTATAGCTGTCTCTCAGGAGGAAACTATAATGAAGTCAAGCCAGCAACACAAAACACAAGTCATCTTTATTATACTTTTGGGGTCTTCATATGAATGCATTTTTTAAACTTCCTAAGTGGTCCAGTAATTTCTTTTTAATGTTTCCCAAATGCTTGAAAAGAAAGGGTATTATACATTTAATATATACAGGTCCCACGTACATCACTTAGTTTAAGTACCTTTTTATTGTATTGTTCAAATATCCTACATTATTGCAATTTTGTTTATTTCTCCTTGAGGTGTTTCTTTAAACGAATTTCCCTTTACAGCTTTAAGTTTGTTTCAACAAAACTTTCACCTTTCTTAAGAATTTTTTTAAAACAATCTTTATTTATGTGTATGCGTACATGTGTTTGTAAGTGCATGTCCTGGGTGTGCAGGTGTCTGAAGTGGTCAGAAGAGGGCATCAGATTCCACAGAACTGGAGTTAGTAGAGGTAGCTGGGAGCAGCTGCCTGACAGGGTGCTCAGGGTCTCTGTGTCCTATCTATTAAAGGAGCTCTCCAGACCTTGCATTAATTTTTATTCTTAAAATATGTATATTATTGCTGTGTACTAGGAGCTTTTATTTGGCATAAATGATAAGAGGCATGGAGGAGTGGGAGAAAAATACTCAAGAGGAATGAAAAGAGACTTGCTCAGGACTGGTGCTTTGCTCTTAAACATGGAACTTGAAAAACTGAGCAAAAGTAAATAGTTATCCTCGTGCTACTGAGGGAGCACATGGCACAGGACTGGAGTTTGCAGAGCTCACAGCATCGCAGTTCACATTTTGCAAACGACCCCAGCTTCAAAAAAAGCGATAAAAACTTTTCACAATGTAGAAGCTTAAGTTCCAGACAAGAGTTTGTAGACCTCAAATCATTTCCTATAGAGAAAGTGCTATACTTACCTTGTAAAAGAAGTTTGCTCTCCCGACTGATCCAATCTTCCCGGTGTGGTTCATGAAACATATGTTCCCTTCGGTAGCACCATAAAATTCGCACATTTTAATATTTCCGAATCTGTCTAAAAACTGTCTCCACACATCATTGCTCATGCCATTTCCAACTGCCAAACGCACCTGATGGTCTTTTTCCCCTTCTCTCTGTTAGAAGAAAAGATTTCATTTGTAAATAACTCTACTTTCCCTGTCTCTCTTTTATTGGTGCTATTTATATGGCAACTGTGCTAAAAGTAAACAGGGCATGTGCTATTGCAGAAGAGAGGCAAATACAAGAAGAAAGCCACAGAGTTCTGTTGGAGAATTGTGTCCAGTAGCTAAAAAATAACAGTGGGTTGTATCTGGTTCCTTTAAATATGTGGAGGGACATTCTTCCAAATTATAAATGCAACGACCCTTTTGGGGGGTATATACTAACAGGGAAGTGTATTTCGGGATGGGCAAAACTTTTAAAGGGTTATGAAATATTAATATTTTAGGCCTATCATTTATTGCCTGTATAATTTTGATATTGATTCCCACTCTGATTCTGTTTATTCATATTTTTAAGATAGTAGTGGATCCTGTATATTGCAGCTTACCGGTAGTTCTCAATTACCAACATAGGAGGTAACAGTAACTTAAACCCTTGGAGTCCATGTCATAGTTAACTGAAAATGAGGCAATGGGATGTAATGCATATTTATAATGACCGACCTTTGCACACATTTTTGTATTTCAAATTAAAGAAGAAATGTATTTTCTTCTGTGTTCAAGAAACAATGTTAATCAATGTGGATAATGAACATTTAAGTTCAAGTAAGATTATGTTATCATTATAATCATAGTAAACTAATAATTTGCTCAGAACTACTTTTGGGTAACATATGATCAATTGATCACAGTATGTTCCAACTTCTCTAAACACCACAAACTGGTTTTAAACAAGACATTTTAATCAATGAATGCTTAAGAATAAATAGAAATGAATGTGAAGTGATTGGGAACCAAAAATATAAACAGACAGTAAGGCATGACTAAGGATGGGTGAGGTGGATACACAGGCCTGCATGCGGGACCCAACAAATGTTCCTCAATGTCAAGAAATTGTGAGAACAGGGAAGCTACAAAGCTTGCCTGGGAGTCTCCCCTTACTTGCTCCTTCTTCTTTAAATGCTAGGGAAGTTACTCTCTGAATACCAGATATAAAGAAACCAGTTTAGGTTGAGATGTTAATGAAACAGTAATGTTTAATGAAAGTGCATTTCAGATGAGGGAAATCACACTGTGCTGATTGCAATTCTGTGACACTGTGATTATGGACAAAGCAGTAAACTTTTGAGTTACCAGATAAGTTATTTAAGAGAAAACACATCCATTTTTAGAAGTGCCTCAATATAGAATGTGAACTTTTGGGTGCTAAATACCATACATCTTTAATTAGATTTTAATGCAAGTCTGCAATATTATTAAGCATCGATTTTTAAAGGATGAAGCCTGTGAAAGGGTGTCTAAGATGTCTGGGCTGCCTTGAAAACTGTCCCAGAGAAAAATGTATATACCTGCAGAACAGTAAACTACCAAAAAACGTTAACAACTATTTTTAAAAGAGATAGGAGACTATCAAGCTATGTAATCAAGGTCAAAAAAATTAAAACAATAAATATGAGAATGGTATTTGAATATTTTCTGGTAAATTAAGGGGAAGAAACAAAGAGAGAGAGAAAGGGAGATAGATAGATAGAGAGATCATTCTTAACGAGGCAGTAGAGAGACAGAGACAGAGAGAAACAGACACACAGAGACACAGAGAGACAAAGAGAGAGATCATTCTTAAAGAGGCAGTGGAAGTACTTTTGGCTATTTTATATTCTATGAACGTATTGTTTAAAACTTTAAAAATGAAACACATCTTCAGAAAACTAAAAACTAAATGCTGAAGCTGGAGACATGAGTCAGTGGTTAAGAGCACTTACTGCTCTTGTAGGGCACCTGACTTCAGTTGCAGAGGAACTGAGTTGAAACTGGCACCTATGCCAGGCTTTCAACCACCTGTAACTTCAGCTCCTGGGGTACAGAGGACAATTACATACATGTAGCATACTCACACAGAAACATACATATTCACATAAATAAAAAATGTTGTAGAGATAGGTAAAACTAAACGAGTCAGCAGAAAGGAGTGAAATGAAGTATGTATGTGTATGAGTAAATGGACATTTACTCTTGAATGTCAATAATGTTTATAGTGTATTTCATGTGCACAGTTAGTGAAAATAATTATAGCATTCAAGGTATTGAATGAATGAAAGTTTTATAAAATCAATGCACTGTCATTTACATGGGAAAATACTGTCTCATGACAGCACATGACAAATTAAGAATCAGTGTTGTATTGTTTAAAGTAAATTACCCAAGGGACTACAAGGATAGTGTTCAAGTTCTAAATTAAATTTGTGTATGTGTGTGTATACACATGTGCTTTTAAATGATTTTCAATGATACTTGAAACCCTAAACTTCCAAATATATTTACTTCTGAACATAAAACATGACAAAATTATTTTCCTGGGTGATATAATGTTATTATCGCACAGGTCATTGAGCCATTGGAAGTTACTGGTATCATCATTCACAATTGTGTTTCCTTGTGAATTTGCTAAAACAGAAATATGCACATATAAATAAAAATAATGGGCTTATAATAATAAAAATGTAATATCACAAATCCCTGTAGCAAGCCCAAAAGTTAGTCCTATTGGTGTATACACTTATGCACACAACCACTATTATTCATATTTACATATGTGGAAGGAGGGAAAGAAATGAAAGGAGCCCTAAAAATCTTATTTGCACATGAACAGAAATTTTGCTTTGCACAGTGTCTAATATTGCCATGAAGTCTAAATCAAGCTTTGACAAACTACAGCCTTCAAGGTACACTCATTGGCCACCTGTGTGTTTGTAACATTCCAATAAGCACAGTCATGCCTGATTATGGGGAGACCATCTATGAGAAATGTAGATGAGATTTTGAATATGGATTTTATATCTAGAAAAGCAATACAATTCTTTTGATAATACTTTCTATGGTGTTTTCTCTGACATCTACATACTCTTTTCATTTATGACAAAGTCTCAAAAGTCCACAAGTCATTTTATTAAGATTAACCCAATGGTTTCAGTAATGAAAGGCTATGGAAACATGAGCTTCTGATGCAGTTTTTCTCTTAATATTTCTGAAAAAGCATACAGAATTCTTTACAACTTTACTGCCAGATATTTATATAGTCACACACACATATACACATACATGAGTGATAGAGATAGATGATGGATGGATAGATATATGATTAATAGACAGACAGACAGATAGATGGTAGCAGGCACATGGATGAGCCATTATCTAAACCACAGAAAATACTTGTTTACTCTCCCAACACTTAAAGTCCCTTAAAACAGTTAAACAGATTTCTGACAGTTAGAGCTTCTATCACAGATACCCTATGGACTTAGATCTCAGTAGACATATCCATCTGGGTTTCAGTACAAAGAACTGGGCTGATGTGATGATGTCCATGAAGAAGTCACACCAACATTGAAGCTCTGGTTTCTTTAAAAACCTTCTTGTGAAGCTGCTGCCTGGTGCAGCAGGAACAGAAGGGAAGTTACCTACTACCAGATCATCAATTCTTTCCCAGAAACAGTCTCTTTCTTCCAGAACACAGAGTCCATCCAATTTTGAGAAAATCTAACACAACCAGGCCAAAGAACCTCTATAGACATCTACAAAAATGGAAACTCCACAGTTTCTCTTTAAATGCAGAAAACTCTATGTATGAGTTTTAAGGAAATGAGAATGTTAGTTGCTACATGGGGAAGCAGAAGTGAGACACACTGAAAGCAAAATCAAATGACTACTGCCTCCAGCCCAGCATAGAAGACTGTTTATTGCAGAAAGTAAGGTTCCATCCTCAAACAATCATCTAAAGCTCTAACAGCAGATGGTAGGAATTTTGGTCCTTCCACTCTGATTCTAGGTAAGACTTCTTGGTTCTGAAGCCTACTGATAATCATGCATGCATGCATATGCCTGCCATACACCCATGCCTCTTTAAGAACAATCATATGATCTGACAGTTGACTTTCCTTGCAAGCACTACAGTATATATACACTGAATTAGTACAGGCAGCAAGTTACATAGGTTTACAGAATGGGGGCAAACTATGAGTATCCCATAGACCATAGTTTGAAACCTTATGTACATATTTTTATTTTAAAAATAATGATAAGAAAGAATAATGAAACTACATGTTCTTTAAATCCAGATTTGCTGATAAAAATTGTAGATAGCTTATAACAAAAGGAGGAACTTGGGTAGAGATGGTGAACTCCAAACTCATGAATAAAAACATCTTGTAGATCAGGCTCTCCAAGTTCACATTCTTTTCTGTGTTCATCTGTCCCATGCAATCCTGCATACTCAATAAAGTTTTATTGAGGGCTCCCTGCCTAGTCTCATCAGGATTGGAGATAATTAGTGGAAGAAGAAGTAGTGTTAATATTTTAACCATGAAAGAGATATCCTAGTCTACCATCCTTAGAAGACATGCTGAATGAGGGAACTCAGGCCAGGAGGTGTAGCTCAGCTCTATGGCTCCACTGTCTCTCCTCATAGAGAGTAGTATCCTCCCTAACATTCCTGGAAGGGGTTGATGTTGATTTGATTCAAGGAAAAATAATCACTTCTTTGCTGTCAGGGGTGTTTAGGAAGTCAGAATGTTTTCCTTTTCTTTTTCTCTCTTTTCTTTTTTAAGCATTTGGAAAGATGAATGAGACCAGAACAAAGACAAGGACAGAAAAAGCAAATAAGCCACAAAGACACACTCCAGACTCTGACAAATCTCTGTGCTTACCTATTTCTCATGCAGTGGCAACTGATCAAAAGATGTCATATCCAGTTTTGGGGTTGGGGGAATGAGTACAAATAAAGTTCCCTTTTAATGCTAAAACACATTAACAGGAATGTACCCACTATAATTATTTATTCAAAAGAAAAATGGAAGAGTATAATTGGTGTCATTTTTAAAGCCCAGTGTTTTAAAGCATTGTCGACTTTAAACTTGGAGTTATTTTTCTGCAGACATCTCATGCATCTAATTTCATAATAAAATTGAATTAACCTGGACTTGAAGTGCACTGCAGTATTGATCTGTCCTGTTCTGCTACAGAACAAAGCATACAACACTTTACTGGGTAATCTGCCTCTTATTTTCTTGTGCTTTTATACTTTTTTATCATAAGCATATCTGTGTCTTTGATAGATTATGTTCTGGAGGACTGTGGAGTGAAAGCAAAGAAACCAAACCTCTCCCCTGACACAACCCTCATCCCAGTGCATATTCTATCTGAAATCTTCAGCATCTTCAGTAACGGACTCTCTTACCTGAGGTTGTTTGCACAGATAACGGCAAAGTTCTCCAATGTACTGAAACACAGTCACATTGTACTTCTTGCAATCATTCCAAAATTGGCTCGCAGAGAATTTCTTCTTTAGTACACATGTGGCACCTACATGAGAAGAGGCAAAAATAGGCAGTAGGTCACCATGAAGCACAAATGACACTGTTGTCTTAACAGTTCCACTCACTTCCAGGGCCCTCGTGACTCATCCTCAGTCACGAGGTAGTGAGTTCATTTGGAAATACTACCTTTACTAAATTTTTAGTGTCGTCATGTGATAATTATGATTTTCTACTGCAAATGTGCTTTTTGCAATTTGCAGAAAGGAAGCACCTTCAAAATTAGTAGGAATTCCATTCATAGAAACACTAGCATTGGAATTACATGTATAGTATCACAAGCATTGGAAGTTTGTGTATACTACCACAAGTGTTAGACATACACACATACTACCACAGTCACTGGAAGTACATGTATACTACCACAAGCATTGGAAGAACATGAATACTACCACAAGTGTTGGAAGTACACATATACTACCATAAGCACTGCGAGAGCCATCCATCCTTCTCAGGGATGAATGATATTGACTCATTTTATCCTTGCACAAAAACATGCAGTTTGTTCTGAAGACTTTAAAACAGATTTATCATATGCCAAAGTTGAGATTTAAGAAGCTATATCAAAATTCCACCAACAAAAGTTCACTAGTAGATATAGTACCTAGTTTTAGGAACATATTTTAACATGGTGTTCTATATTTAATAGGGATATAAGTCATGTACCGAATAATTCACAATTTAATGCATACAAACCAGTGGTTTTTCATATAGTTACAAGCCATCACCTAATTCTAGGACATTTGTTTTTATTACCCCAAAGGAACTTTACCACCTTAACAGTCATTCCAATGTCCAACTCCCCTTACCTTTGGCAGCCATTTATGTACATCTGCCTCTAAATATGTTTGTTGTGTACTAATGTGACATATTGTGTCTGGTCCTTTCATCTACTATAAAATGTGATTTGAGTTTATTTATCTTATAACATGTATCAATATTTCACCCTCTTTATGATTTAATATATTCATGGGTATGCAATATTTTATTTATAATTCAACAGTAATATGTACTTGGGTTGCTCCTTTTTTTGTCCATAAACAATAATGGTAATAGGCACACTCATGATCAAGTGTGAGTGCATGTTTTCAGTTCCTTTGGACATGGATCCATGAGCAGAATCACTTGGTCATGTGACTACCCCATGTATTACTGGCTCTGAGTTCTAACACAAATACCCTCACAGTGGATGGAATCTTGCTCCCACCTCTGCCCCTGGTTATTCAAGAAGTGCTATGGGCAGTTAGTAAACTAGCCTAAGGCATTTCTCCAGCTCAGTGCATAAGAGTGTTGGTGTGTGGGTGGGGTCTCTGGAGCCTTTACTGACAGTGGATTCCACCATGGAAGGTTTGGTATTGAGCTTCAAGAAAAGATGTAAGTCAGTTGACTCTCCCTCTCTCTTTTTGTCTCTCCCCGCTCTCTTTACATCTCCCTCTCCTTCTTCCCCTCTCTTTTTTCTCCCTCCCTCTAATAAGCTGCTTAAAGTTACTTAAGGGCCAACATGGAGACAGCTCCTTCCCTTTTGTCTTCTTCAGCATGCCCCTTCTTTTTGTTATACTAAAATCAGGTGCTCTGGTCTGTCTCCCAATTTCCTTAATTCTCACAAGATGATCTTTATGTGTATGTACGAATGACCATTTTGCTGTGTCTGTGGAGAAGTGACTATGATCCTACACTCACTTCTAATAATCTAGTAACAGGAATGGATGTCTCTGTACAGATTCTTACAGACACTTTTAATGATTGACACTTGCTTTCTGCGAATGACAAACACACTCTAAATAAACTACCATTGTATGTCAGGCATACACAAGCTGTAGTGAATGAGCTCTATTATTTCAGAGCTAGTGAAGGAAACATCATCTTGCATGTCTACAAATGGAATCTCCTGAATCATCAGTTCTATCACAACAGTTCTGGGGTGTTTGGGACAGACTGTGGGGAGAAGAGAAACTGGCCTTAATAATTCCTTCCCCTCACTTATCTGTGTAGTACCCATTTGTCCTTCTCGCCTGGAAGAGGTGGAGTCTATTTTCCCACTGTTTGTATCTAAATGCTTGTCTGAGCTTTGACTTTTTTTGCTCAGCAGAATGCTGCTGAAGGCATCCTCGTGCTTTTGGCGAGTTTGTTGCAAACAGTTATGCAGCTGACATATTTACTCCCTGTGATTGACAGCCTGGGGATTGCAGGGCTAGTCTCCTAGAGAATGAGAAACCACAAGGAAAGAGGAGTCTGTAAATAGCTGAAATCCCACAAGCAAATGCCCAGGACTTTGGCTTTTGCAGTTTAGGAATGTGCTATGACACGAAAATGTGTCCTTGCCACAAATATTACAGTGTAATTGTGCAATATCGATGCAGTTCCTCAGAATTCTATGAATACTTTGAAGTTCTAGTGAATATAAGCACTGTTTAAGCATTCTGATGACTTATCAAAAAGAAAAGAAACTTACCCAACTCTATACAGCCACCAATTCCAAGGAGAGCCCCTGAGCTATGGTATAGAGGGAGGGTTATATAAATGATGTCATCAGCTGTGCAGCCAAAAGCCCACAACCCAAAAGATCCCTTCAACACCTGCAACTGACTAATCACAGCTGCTTTGGGTAGACCTGGAAGAGAAGAAAAGAATGAAAAATTAACCCACACACATTCTCTCTCTGAGGAACACTTGAGTTCTCCAAGGGACCCCCATCCATGTTAAAGATTGTGTAAATTGATGGCAGCAAAGTACAGTATCATAATTATGAAGGGGTAGAATGTAAGGGGGAGAACCAAAATTATCTTTGGATAGCTTACATGCTTTAGAAACTGGCTTCTAAAAGTTTACCTTTGTATGAAAGCTAATTTTCTCATGACCATTGGGTAAACTTTTTGGAACATGTTGCTAAGCTTAGAAGAACTCTAGCCTCCACCAAACTTTAGCTAAGTATTCTTTCAAGTAATATCTGAAACATACTGAAAGAATTTCCCACCTTGCTGTAGCTGGCTTATCTAACACCACTTCTATATTCACAGAATAGGTTGATTTATAATTTCCTTTGTTCTGTTGCTACAGAAGTTCATGGAACCCTTTAAATGGCACAACATGCTTCCAGCATAACTTGAATCTGTTATGAAGGTCATGGTCACTGTTAAATATCAAGTGTGTGTGTGTGTGTGTGTGTGTGTGTGTGTGTGTGTGTGTGTGTATCTGTGTGTGTGTCATAACACATAGATCTATGAAAGAAAGTTTATTCTGATACAAACAACACAAAGGATTGAGACAAAAATACATCCAATTATTCTAGATGCATAGCAGGAAACATGCAATGTGAACTGTTGGTGTAATGAAGTTCTGCATTCTTTAATCTATTCAAAAGAAGTCAAAATTACACAAAATCCAAGTACAATGTCTTCTAGAAACTAATGAAATAAATACTAATATCTGCAAATATATGCCCTCAAATGAGAGGACTCATAATATAAACCTAAATTACATGTAAAGTAGAAATTTTCTAGAGAACAATTC